TACCCCAGCAGTGGTAACCAGCAGTGGGGAGAAGCTGACTCAGCAGCGGTAAGGGACAGATAATTGCAGAGGTGCTACTTGTTCCTTTCTCTTTAAGTTAGCCTTGCTCCAATACAGTGAGTGGTACTCCTTTCTTTCTCTGTCACCAAGCCAGGATACAAATAATGAACTCCAGGAAAAATATGTGAGTTGAAATGAGCAGTGGTAAGAGGTAGCACACTGTGGAATGGAGTTTCACAGTGATATATTAAAAAAAGAGAGCTCAAATGTAAACTGGCTTTTTATTTTATAATATTGAAAATCCTTGCTACGTTTACATTCATTAAAAAGAAAATACTCTCCTTAAATAACTCTATTAAATGGAGTTAGGAAATAAGAACTTGACAAAAATAACTGTACTAAAGATCTTTCTCTTCCTAGGAAATATGAAAGTATCAAATTCAAAAACTACTACACTATCATCTATTAGGAAGATCACTGAAAATATCTATGATCTGTTATTTGTCAGTCATTGAAAGGCCCTCGAAAGACACTAACGCTTTTCCCTTGTAGAACTGTGATGTATCACATAGCCTACACTAACTGACAAGTGACCTAAATTATAAGCTTTTCATGGTGCCAAACAAAAAAAATTCAGAAAATGTCCATTCCTTTGTTAGTTTTGAGATGAAAAGCAATAGAAGAAAGCAATATCCCTAATATGACAAACAACGAAAGAACAGTTCTGTGGCAGAAACAGTTAAACAAAACCTGTGAACTCAGGAGGCTCCTCTGGAGCATGGAGGGCAGGGACAGCAACAAGACTGTATGCACCAGCTGCTGAATAAAATCCAGATGTGCTCTCAGTGTCAGAAACTAAGTCTCATCTCAGCTGCAGTTGCAGGGAGTTAAATCATATCTGAATATAACTCCTCATGTCTGAAAAGATCTGAAATAGTGATGCAGGCTATAAGGAACACTTGAAAACTATGGAAGTTAAGCAAAACTCCTTTGGTGCTTGTACTATATCAAAAACTCAACCAGGATTACCAGGGACACAATGTGAAGAATTACCAAATAGTAATGAGCCACGAGTCCCCACAGTAGAACTGGCCTCCCCATAGCACCTGTGGCTGAGTATGGAGACCTAAAGTCAACTTACCGAACTTCAATACAGATTCTTACCCTGGCTGAATTTTGTATTGTGACAAACAGATACCAAATAAAATGTTACTGTTTTCTATATGAGCAATATGTCACAGAGTCAGTTACACTGAAAAAGTGTGCTTTGTGCTTAGTGTATACCAGTTTGCAGAATCAGTCCTCGCATTCGCAGACAGGCATTTTCCATTTCATCATAGAGTTAACACTGGGAATGTTAACGCTGCCATGGCTCCAAAAAAAATCCAACAAAAAACATATAAATGTGACTGCTATAATCACATTTTTTTTTTGAGGTTTCTTTCAGGAAAGAGGAATACTCTAATTATATGAATCATGGCTACTAAAACAAATTACAGCATTGTATGTACACAAAATATTTTTACATTTAAAAACAACAAAAGGTACAAAACAGTGTGAAACTAATGACTAAAATTTTCAAGTTATTTGAGGAAAGTTGCTGGCAGGCTTGTAGATGGTCTACGTAAGACTCCCATACTCCAGTCTTTCCAGACATGCTTTTGTGCTTAATTGATTAGAGAAACTAGGGAGAGGTGATACTTTTGCAGTGACTGATGTTTTCTTGTAATTAAATCAACCTGGTATATATCTCCCAGAAAGCATTAGATTATGAAATGTTTATAAAATGCCAACCTAGGTGTCTTCTGGAAAATTACAAATTTAATATTTAGGTGGATGTCTTTGGTAAAAATAAAACCAGTGGGTTCCTTAATTTAATAGAAATATATTATCATAAATTTACTCTGGGCATCATATATTAAGATAATGCTATGCAAATAGGTATGACAGTTAAATAACATTTTAGTATAAGAGTGTTTAAATGAATAACATTTTAAAATGCCAGTCAATACACCATGAAAAAAGAAAGCTCAATTTAATTAGGTTGGTCATTTGTGGCTTAGGTAGGAAAAGGATTAGCATGTAGAGTAAGTTAAAGCTGCCCAAAGCTTTGTGTGAGTTTTACACAGGTATTCACTTTAATCTCAATAAAAGAATTAGTGTAACAAATGCTGGCTTACATGGTGCTTTGCTGCTTATGCCACAAGAGATCTTCTCAAGAAACTTGCTGTGTTGCCATGTAAAGGTCAGGCATAGTTTACAGAGAACTGCAAAAAATAAAAATCTTAAAAAATAAAAGGCTTTGATGAAAAATATGCAGTATGGTACAGACAAGCGTTTTTATAGTTTCCTTACGTGAACTTTTTTTTTACTAATTTCTCTATAAAAGGAAAATAATTTTACTTCCAGTAGAGAAGATGTTTGACAGCAACCACTGGCATAGTCTAGTGAGACTGGAGGGGCAAGATAGAGGCTTTGGGGTAATTATCTTCTTAAATGATTTTTTTTAATGTGCGCAAAAGTCAAGCAATTGACAGAAGCATTTTCAGCCTGACCTAACCTGCCTACTGTAGACTGCAGTGCACTGAAGAAAGCAGAGAAGACACAACCACTTGCTGGGAGGATTACACTTGTGCCTGGCATTAATACAGAGGGGTTTCTGCACAGTACTGAAAAACAAGTGGGCCCCAGTACCTATTTCAAGCTTCCCCAGCTGGAATTATTTTCTGTCTCCCTGGAAGATGGACCAGAAAGTGAGGAGAAAAGAGGTCACAAGGGCCAGGCAAATGCCAGATCTGCACCTAATCTTCATAACCACAGGACTGAGGTTGATGGTATGTATTTATAAAACAAACTGTTTGACTGTCGCTTCATACATACACAGCAATAAGTGTATATTGCAAATACTGTACTTTGGAAGTTCTGAGGGCTTCCAGCCCAAACTGCTGGAACAGCACACTCACTGTTCTCAAATACTGTGCTCCACTTGAATTTGAGAGGAAAAGGATAATAACAAGAATCTTAAGTGCAAGTTATTTTCATAGATAAGCATTATTTAAAAACTAACACAGACAAAAATTATTTGATACTCTCTAAAAAATATTTTCCTTTTCTCTTTTGTACTTTTATGCAGAAGTACCTTCTCAAATTTTCTGAAAGCTGGGATTTTCTGAACCAATCTTGAAATTAGCAAATGCTTCTACTACAAATTTCCAGTTATTTTATTTTCAAAACTGCCATAAAATATGCTAATAGAAAAAAGAAGCAGCTGCACTCTACTCATTTAGTGGAAATTATCAGCTTGTGTATGTTTATTATGCTATTGGCCCTGTATTTGCCAAAAGAATGTAGGCCCATGTACGTCCCAGACAGTCAGATACAGAAAGTGTGTTTAGAAATATGCCCTACTGTAACTTTTTATAATAGGGTTTTATTCTGGAGCTATGAGGAACTCTTAGGAGACAATAAAGATTTTTTTTTTTAACTTTCCAAAATTAAGAACACTATTTTTCACATACTGTAAAAACTAAAAAGTCTGGAAATTTATTTAAGTCTACTTAATAAAAGGAACAGAATGATTCCAAATCAAAGAGCACAAGTGTGAAAGTCATCATTTTCAAAAGTGGACATGCCGAAGGAAGCCACCAAGTCTAGCAAAGGACACATGTTGTGTGCTGTCAGTGCGATATTTAAGGTTCAAACTCATCTAGTGGTACCAGCAATGTCTTCCAGCAGCACTGACTGCCTGTATTCAAGCTGAATACAATGTCATCTGTGGTTTTATCCATCCTGAATATTACACCATTAGAAGTGTACATTAATGTCAACTTCTCCTGCATCGGGATTTATATGTGATTCAAGCCTATACTAATCAGTAATATTTAAATGTAACATTTGGGACCAAAAAAATCCCCTTAGATTTGTTCATTCGAAACGCCACAAAATGAAACACTTCTAAACCTTTGAAATAAATCAGAGATAGTCAGGTAATTCAGGAATAACACACAGAGCTTGAGGGGATTTGTTCTTGAAGCTTTTGGAATTAGATGTATATAAGCATTGCTACAGTTTATTCTTTTCAATGAGAATATAGGAGCTTGGTCTTTAAAGGGTCTCGCTGATGTGTAAAGACATAAAAGTATTGGGCTACATCAAGAACATGAAGCTGAAATTAACTACTTTAAACCCCAGTGAAAGACAAATTTAAACACTTAAATACATGTCAAATACTACAGAAATCCCGTCAAAATCTATAGCATGGTAAGGCTCAGTTTGCTGCAAAATCTAAGCCTCTCACATAACAAACTTGATTGACAAACACTGATTTATGAGAGAGGAAGGACTCTCACTCCTCACTAGGAAACCCAGTAAAATTCAGCAGCACTTAAACAAAAGAACCCTCCAAAAACTTCACACTACTTGAATGTGCATTCAAGTCAAACAACACTCTCATTTTAGGATGCAAACCAAGCCTGACAGTTCTCCTACTGACTTTCTGTCCCAGTACAATAATTTTTCCTTGACTCTACATGTGGCAGCTAGGCTGGAAAGATTAACATCCTCAACTGCACACCCACTTAATCCCTCATTCTGTAATGGTCACAATCAACTGCACTGAATTCAAGTCTTTCTGTGGCCTTAAAAACTGCTCTGAGCTTTGTAGAAGCATTCACAATTCCAACCTTTCAGCACACACATAGCTATATATATTGTCCATACTACCAGGTTAATCATTACTCCTTAAAACATAAAGCTAAGAATGCCTTTACAGGATTACAGCTTTAGTCTGCCATGTGTTCTCTGTGTGTGCTGCAAGTAATGGAAATTAGTGAGTGAAATTTTCACAAACCTTTGAATTGCTCAGCTATAAACAGCAAGAAAAAAATTAAGTACAAATATATATATACACACACATAGTCACATGTATGCAAAAAGGTAAGACTAGATATACAATTTACATAAACTGCAAAACCTTGAAACAAACAAACAAACAAGCTTACCCTTGCCAACGTCAGTGTTCCTTGTTTACACACAATGCATCGGACCCTCAGTTTCCCAGGTTTCACAGCTTGGCAGAAATTTTTGCAAAAAACATAAAAACTGTTGTAACCAGCTGCACCTGTCAGGAAGAAAAAAAAAAACAAACAACAAAAACATTTGATGTATACTGAAAATCAGTAACAAACTGTAATGAAAGGTTTCTATTTGACTTTATAAATGATAAGTAAAAAAAAGATTGACTAATTTTAAGGCCTGAAGTCAGCATTGTAATCATCTTACCTTGCCTGAGCTAGTTCTTAACACTTTTCAGTAACTCCTGCTTCTTGATCAGTAGTTATAGGTGAACTACACCTTAACTCCTAGAAAACACCTCCTGTCTTGAGTTTGAGCTTACCATGGATAAACACCAACTGTAATCTTTGACAAGTGACATATGAGATTAATTACCCCAGCTCTCCATAATCTGCATCTTACTTCTAGTATAAATTTGTCTACCTGCGAGTTTTAGTGAGTTCAAATTGCATGAAAATATATTTATATTAAGTTTAAAAGATTAGTTTGATTTATATCACAGCAAGAAAACAAATATTTAATTCAGCATATTTAGTTTTATTCATGGAAGACTGGGAACCATTTCTTTATTCTTGCTGGCAGCAGTATAACCTAGCAAAGTTTGTAAACTGCTGCCAAGATATTAGGTAAATTTTCAAGGAAAATGAAATTAAATGCATTCTGTTCTGTGAAACTATGAAAAAGAAAATGATATGCAAAGAACTGTGTAAGCCTGGAGGAATGCTAGTGAATTTCATTTCACATGCAATCCTGATCAGTTTTGAGTAAATGCCATTTTAGGATGGCTATTGCTATTCCTTATAACACGATGGAAGATTCATAGCGTAATTTGAATCTAGACTAGAAATCTCCAAGTTCAGAGACTCAAGTTTATTATCAGAAGTTGAACTGAGACCGGAATAAAGTTTTTTAACAGATTTTTCCCAGTATTAAGATGAACGGTTGTGGAGATTTGACCAATGAAAATGCCTATCAATTTTATGTTACACCTCTTCATAGGTGTCCTAAGATAAATGTGCACTAGTTTCCAAAACTCAACTTCAGAGAACTATGTCATCCAAAACCCTTTTTTTTAAGAAAAAGTATGTAGATATCTTCAAAGAAGATGTAAACTGCGAAAAGAAGAAATTTTATAATGCTTTTTCAAGTTTTCGGAAATATAAGCTACGTAAGAGTACATCAGTGATGTATTCAATATTAATTTTAGTCAACTGATCTATCAAGTGTTTTCATTATGCTTCCCTAGGGAACATTAATCACCATAGCAGAATATAAAGCATAACAGAATTTAAACTGAATTCAGTTTTTGTGGAAAATTAACATACATCCATACATTTACACACATACAAAATTTTCATATAAATGAGTGCAACTCAAAAGGTTGAGAGCACACTTCTCAAACCAGTCTAAAACACAGCTGTGGGATTAAAATAGTTCCACTAAAGATAAAAATGGTTATGCTGAACTATTTAATATAGAGGACAATGTTGAGAGGTGAATCCAAAATAAATATGACAAAATTTTGCACATTTGCATCTCTAGTCACTCATATTTACCCTGAGGCTCCTAGCACCAGGACTGAGAGCATGTCTGGATTAGACCTGATTTGAGCTAGAATCCATAACAAAAATTTAAACTTCAGTGTTGGAAATGAGGAGGACTGCATTTGCAAATGATTGGATTTTACTTTTGGCAGTTCCTCTATGCAAGATCAGCAGGTCAATCAATACAACAAAAGGGCAGTACCTTTAGCACAGTTCAGAGGAAATACTACATGTCTTAAGTAAGTAAGAATGCTATTGTTAGTAGAGGCCCACAATGAACAAGATGATTTCAGCCACTGATTCCTGACTCGGTCTCAAGTGCAGGAAGTGAGACCAGAGCCCTTTGCCTATCTTGGTATCCCCCATCCTGTCCCATTGCTCTGATTTCTTATATGGGCAGTCTAATGAGACTAATAAAACTGTTGTTTCTATTCACATGTAGAATCACTTATCCTGAGTAGATCTGTGATGCCACTATTCACTGTCTTAATTTGGTCCTACTCCCCAGAAGGATTCCTGCCATGACTCTAATGAAACCCTTTCAGTTAAACAGAACCATCTTAATGAATACCTAAGCCCCTAGAGAATAAAATATTTTAATTGGGCTGAAGCCTTTGCTGACCCAGCCCAGCACTCCCTGATGTCTTGTGTCCCTGTCTCACATTTTATACCAAGTTTATTTCAAGCAGTAAACTACTTGAGGTAGGAATCATGCTTTCTGCCTGCTTTGTGTTCTACGCTCATTTCTTCTGGACCTGAAGATAAAATTATATTATTGATAAACTCTGCAAAATATTCACAGGATAATATGGCATAAATCAGCATGACTGAATACTGCAGTAAAAAATAGCAGTCATAGGAAAGGTCTGAAATCAGACATATTGCTGATTTACTATAGAGGATAAATCTTATGCATTAGCTTGATATTTACTCCATGCAAAAATAGACTATGTTAGCTCAATATTCATTTTTCTTATCAGTTTCTGTTTTTTCCTTTTTCATGAATATAAAAAGGACCCCCAAACACATCCTATATGTACAAATTTGAAACACAAGAAACAAATTTATAATATAATGAGTTGGAGCAGTTAAGCAGCACAGAGAGACCCAGAATAACTTTTGAAATGTCTGCTATAGCAAGGCTGCTGGAGAGGCACAACGACAAGAGTAATGTTCTGATTTTAGAAGGAAAGCGTAAATGGAGATTTTCAGCAATTTGTTCACCATTTTATGCAGATGTGCTGATCTCAGTCTCACAAAGTGCACTTACATCATTAGGTGTATGTCCTGAGCAGCACCACCAGGAGAAGCAAAGACTGAATTAAAAAGGCAAATGCTGAAAGTCAGCATACAGTATGATACTGATAGCCAGCATTAAACTCTTGTTAATGTCACTTTGTATTTTAGCATGTCCCTTGCATCCCTTTTCAGCAGGGAACTGAAAGAAACGGGAAGAAAGAAATCTGCTTTATGCACCAGATCTGATGTAGCAGTATTAACAACAATTGTAATTACGGCACCACGCCAGTAACTACTAAAATTGTTTCAGCACCAACCTTAGAACCTCATATTTCCTCATTCAATCAGGGTCTATAAGTTTTCATAAAGCATTCTATTAATAATTTATAATACTGGCACTCAGCAAGAATGTGCACACACAGCAAATTATAAGTTAAAAAAATGTTGATTCTGATACTGAACATGAGTATTAACACCATAAATAAATAAATTAAATTATAACTACTAGTCTTCTTTGCAGTTACATACATTGGTGGGAGAAGGAAGACTGAAGGAAAAACAAATGTGCTGTATCTGCACTTACTCTATTGAGAAGATAAATTCACAGCAATCTCAATTTTCAGGTCCATATTCCAAATATGTATTTGTGGGGCAAGGGTCTCATAATAGTCTATTTTCAACATCAATGATTCAATGATTCATCCAGTGGACTGGACACTCTTTTCCAGCTTTCCCACACCAGCTGGTACATCAGTCTTTTGAGAAGTCATTTACTTTGAGTCTCTAACATTACATTACTCTTAGGCTTAAAGATGGTGCAAGAAGAATCGGTTTCATTTGGGGTTTTTGTTTGTTTGGTTGGTTGGTTGGTTTTTGACAAGTATTTTACTTTAATTTACTCTTAACTGAAGAAGATGCCACTAGAAAGTTGACCTTAAAAACCTGAATTTCTCTTATGTTCAAAAGCATTTTTCAACACATGATCACAGGCTAACTTTTTAAGAAGTTATCTCCAATATGTCAAGCTTCCGATAAATCTGACTTGGAAACACAGAAAAAAAATAAATTCTTCATTTTATTCACATGTGATCATTTCCATCGGCATTGGTGAATTCCTCTCATAACTTGTTTCAACACAGCAAAACTCATTTAATGCACAACTGCCTGGTTATACTTCATTTGGTGAGAATAGTTACAGGACTGAATCTTTCAGGGAAAGTAAGGGAATGTCTCCTGCCTGGAGTCCCAAGAAACGTCTCTCCCATCTGCAGTCATAGCGAACTTCACAACTTCCTTCCTCAGGTCAACTGTTCTAGTACTTCAATACCTTCAGCTTTAAGAAGATATTTCTTATTTTTAGCTTTAATTTTCTGTGCTGAAATTTAGTAATTACATCCTCTACTTTCTACCAAAGATATGAAAAGCAATTTATTTTATTTCTCTTTGCAGCAGGTTTTTGTGTAGTTTTCTATTTCACGGGCTAGTCAACCCCAATATGGTCATTCTTTTCTTATAAGTAATACTCTCTAGAGCTCAAAATATTTCTCTTGGACTTTTCTAAATAGTGTTAGATGCAGCTCCCTAAACTTGTCATAATTTTCCAGTTGAATTCTTTCTAATGCTGAGCACAATAGGGTTCATTTTATTTCTTTTTTTTTTTTTAAGATATTTTGAAGGTTATAATTCTGTTTATGTGTTCTTGTATAACATTTCACTTAATGCTATGTGCATAACTTAGTTGTTTCCTGTTCAGTCTATGATCTAAAATGAACCTCCAGACCCTTGTCTACTTCATCTGTTGTATCCCATTTTGTATCTGTGTTGCTGAATACTGACAGCCAAGTGCAATACTCTGTGCTGGCCTCTTCTGAGCAGCATGGTGGTTTTTTTCCAGACTATATTTCCAGTTTGTCATGATCATTTTACATTTTCAGGCTGTCCTCCGGTTTATCTGCAGTCCCTCCTAGCTTGATAATGTCTACAGATTTAATAAGTATTGTGTCTATTCCATCCTCCTGGTCATTAATGAGAATATTGATTAACATCAGATATAGGGCAGATCCATTCAATATATCCCTCCATTTTGATGATGAACTCCTAATAAGTACTCTCTAGCTACAGATTAGTATCTTAGCCTTCTAAGGAAATGACTGAGTCGTGAGAAAGAGCTATGAAAATGTGTGTAGAACAATACAATGGTAGAAAGAAAGGGCGGTGGAGATGGAGTCACTAGGCCTAGGATTCAAGGGGAAAAGTGCAAAAT